TTTTGTTAATTTGAATCACTTTTGCATGTTTCAGTGGAACAGGTAAGGTGTGACATTCTTGGTCCTGACATTTCTCATTGCCAAAAGTGTTCTTCTTGCTAAGGGTTGAAGCAAGATCATTACACCTCACAAGTGCTGAGCTTTTTAGTTTGTTTCAGGGCAAAGGACTTGGGGGAAAAAAGAGAAGAGTATCGTAATGAAACTGTGAGATGGCAACTATGTCTATAAGCCTGAAGATCTTTTGGTGAGATACATTTTCTACTCTGTATTTCATCTATGAATGGGAGTCAAAAAATGGTGGTGTGTTCTGGTTGCTGTATGAATTTTTGTATAGTGCCATTTTTTATACTTGTGTTGGTTGATGCTACATACCCTTCATCCATTATCTAGTGTCCCCCATTTAGACAGATATCTAAGAACATTTTTGGCTGTGTTTTACGTCAAACTTGCTTATCTGAGACTGCTAAGTGATTAGCTGCAGTGAAATCTTTCAGACATAGAGGAAAGATAACAATGTTTGCTCTTTGCTAATATATTTGCCCAGTGAACTATGTGGAATTGCTACCTGAGTGTCAATTCCTTGTCTAAGTCAACTGTAGTAACAAGGTCAGGTTGGAGGATTTCTGAAAGATGTGGCCAATCAGATGGTTTAGTGTTTCCTGCAGACCTCAGAGCACCAGTAGTGCATTTGAGCTCTGTGGCAATGACAGTGGTAGAATTTCTGAAAAGCCTGTGAATAACCTATGGATAGGAATCATGACTAAAATGGTTGCTGGATGCATGTTGTATCTTTTCATCCAGGTAACCATACAAGCCTAGTTCTGGAGCTCACAACATTGTGCAGTCATTTTCAGTCATGGAAAATGCATGTAAAATTCTGCTATGTATTATTTAGTAGATTAGTACTGAGTATTTAAGTAGATGTGTTTGCCTGTATCAAACAGTTCAAGTATGTAAATATTTTCATTGCAAGCATGAAAGAGGTACATCTGCAAATATTGGTTATTGTTCCTGTAGACTGTGCACATAGGGGAGACTTACAAAGATTTTTTTAGTCCAGAAAAGTAATTACAATCCTATACCACATCAAAGAAAAGGATCTTCTGGCATTATATCTAGAAAAAGTCAGAAGTGTCTGAATTTAACCTAATGTTCCTTGTCAGGAAGCCAGAATTTACAAATTCCAGAACACTTCTTGCAGATAGGTTTTTGAAACCTGGCTTCATGTACTAGAGTCAATATTTGTTTCGAAGTCCAAAGACCACCTGTACTGTAAACATCTGTGAAACACTGCAGCAAAAGCTCTTGAGTAATAGCTGTTTAAATGCACCAGTCTGTTTCCTAAGGTACTGAGGAAATCCTAATGGTTTACATATACACACTAATTATGTCACAAGACACAGGAAGGCAGAAGATTGTACAGATCCCAAGCTGATGGAAGACAGCTGAAGTTCCGTAGCCAAATTGTTTTTGAGATAGAGATCTATGGCTGTAATGGGGTTTAGTCTGGGCAGGTGATCATACCTGTCACTAACAAGGAGTGCTAAGGAACTGTGGCTGTGTGTATCTGATGTGTGGTCAGACCCCATGT